TGACTGTTTTGATTCTTACGATGAGGAGGATTACACAAAAGAGATCCATTTGACGATGGGGTAAGCGCATTTATTTTATAAAACCTTGTTTCCAATGGTGCACTTAGTGCTTGGCTAACTGTGACCATTTTGGCTAAAATAAGCTGCGTCTGTGCTGCTTTGTGTTTCAGTAAGTTGTCATGAACTTTGACAAACTGACTCCAGGGAAGTTATTTTCTTGTGCAGAAGTGGGATACACTTATAAATCGTAACGTTGTAGGCATGTAGGCTGTTCTATGTGATATCCTTTAGATAACTAATGTGATATATCTTCACCTCCATTCACAATTTGAATAACGTTATCTCTTGTAGTGATGAGTAAATATGTTTTGGCCATTGACTATTTTATCATAGTACTTGTACAGATATGGTCTTTCATATCATTTTATCCATTTATGTTCAGTATATTCATACTGAATGAGACTAATTTGTTTTTTTGAGAGGATTTCCAGCTGCCCAGGGCCCAGTGAAACACAGACAGCGTGACCTGTGCCTGCCACCAGGTCACCACCAGGTCACCACCAGGTCACCACCAGGACCCCAACCGCAACCTGCACCCCCATCTACTCAGGAGCCAGCTCGAAGATGGACAAAGACCCAGCCATCGCTCTCCATCTCCAGGTTTTAACCAGCTCGGACACAGGGCTATGCTCATAACATGCAAATTATGTAAATAGTGGGACTTTCCTGTGTTTTTTAATACATATTTAGTCTTTATATATAAATATTGTTTAAAAGTTAAAACATGACAATTTGTACATTATGTAAATATTGTCAATAGTGTGTTTTATTGCTGTGTGGCTTTTATACACATAGTAAACATTTTACTTGAAAGAAAGACCTAAAATAATGCTTGTTTTGTATTTGCACATCCCCATAAAACCTGATATGTAGTAGGAAGTGATTATACAGTCCTGTTTTATTTCAGTCCCTCTAACATTAGGTCAAAGTAGAGTCACAGACAACACTCAAAAAACGATTGTTCAAAATGTCACTAACTAACCACTGAGATACGTGGTTCTCAAATTTCATAAACAGTGATGCATTTCTGCAGATTAAACTTCCCAGCAGGATACAAAGGAGTTAAAATGACCTTAAACATCTGCAGCAGTAAAATGCAGCATTAATGCAGCAGGAATATTAATCCAGAAACATCAGATATAACAGAGAAACTCTGACAGGAACATTTTACTGCACTGTGAGTACTTTTACTGTCATACTGTAAGTACATGTTGCTGATAATACTCACATACTTTTACTGAAGGAAGGTTTGAATGCAGGACTTTTACTCGCAGTGGAGTATTTTCACAGAGTGGTATTAGTACTTTTACTGCAGTAAAGGCAGTTTACAGCGAGAATAAGCAGTAAAGTGCACAAACCTGCTCTGTGTAACCGGACTTCAGGCTTGAAAACAGCGTCCAGTAGTTTGCGTTGTCCACAAAGTTCCTCCTCGTACTCTGCTATCGTTCTTTCAAACAGCTCAAATATCTCTTCAGCAGCCGCACTTAGTCGCTGCTGGACAAAAGCTCTCAGCGTTTGGACTTTAGACATGTTTACAGCAGCTTTTCCTCCAGACACACTCCGTTACAGACACGCAGCTCACTCTGATAAAATACACACTGTGAGGCCGAGCTCCGGCTCCGGCTACTTCCTGCTAACAAGCTAACTTCCTTTAGCATTCTTGGCTAACAGGAGATGAGTCTGAGGTGAAACATCCCGAAAGTTTAAACAGAGTCCACTTAAACACGTTTATCCTCACATGCAGGCTCTGCTGCTGAACTCCCAGTAGGGATATATGGTAACGGTAAAAAGTTAGCATGTTATCCACAGTACACTTGCTTCCGGTCCCACTTCTTTGCTGATTTTCAAATTAAAAGTGACCAAAGCCTCATATCTCTTCGTCAGGAAATAACAATGGAAGAAAAAAATGCCATAGCAACATGTGTAAATGTATCCATTTTAATAAATACAACCACAAGTAAATTATTTTGTGGAGACAGATTATAATAGTACATTTGATTTAACAATCAAAAGACAAAACTATGAATCAACCCCCAAATAAATAAATATTTTCTGCATTTGGAAATGGCTTAGTAGTGTCTGTTATTAGTCTTTTGGAACTGTTCCTCACACTCAAAACTAATAAACAACACAAACATTAGCAGAAATGTTCATTAAAAAGTACAAAAGTTGGATTTCCCTGTTTCTGAATGTAGAGAGATTGCTGCCATCCAGTGGACGTCAGGGAAAACATCATCTAAACCAGTCATAAAAAAAGGTATTCCTGCAGTATTTGTGTTTAAATGTTTCTTATGCTGTAGAGAATAAACACATTTAAAGTATAGATTTCTCTGTGTATTATATATGCAGACGTTGACCCTATTAGAAATAGGGCCAAAATGTTCTACCAAGAAGACTCATATCAGTACAGTCAGGACAATTACTGTAAATTATTTAAGACCAGCTGCTTCATTACTGAACTCAAGCATTAGGGGAAGTGAGGAGGTACTCAGTGTATGCAGTTTCTGCACACATTGGAGGTTCTGTTCTTTGCTTGAGCGTTTCTATTTCATGTATACTTTGTGCTCTGCTCCACTGCATTTCAGAAAGGAATATTGTACCTTTTGCTTCACTACATTGATCTGATAGAAACCAGTCACCCTCACCTGAGGCCAAGAGGTAACGTTTGTTAAGTTTCCTGGGAAGTGATGATAGGACAGCGTTGTAAGTGGGGGATAAGTGGTGGCTGACTCTGTTAAGCGACGGCTTCTCAACCCTGGTGTAGATTCCTTCCTTGACACCTCTTTCAAACCATCCATCTTCTCTGTCTAAAATGTGCACCTGGTGCATCGTTGTTGTCATCTTCCTGCATGTTGTTCACAGCACCAACACCAAAACATGTATGTGTTACCAAAGTGGGAAGCTCCGATACATTCCTTCCACCTTGGAACCAAATGGATCCAGATTATTAACAGATTAAGTCCCCTAAGTGCTTCTCTTGCAGTGCGATTTTAAGCAGCAGTTACGATGCTGGATTTTTGAGCTTTTCCAGGTTCAGAGGGTTTAAAACAAAACAGACTAATTTTAAACATGAGCTGTGATAGAAAACTAAAAGAGCTGCATTATGGGTACTAATTTGGAAGAACAATGTATTTCAAATGAATTTGGGCATCTTTCCTATGATTGGATTATTGATGGTGTGAGTGGAAGCAGTCACTTCTCCTCCTCTCCTGCAGCAGTGTCACGATGGACCAACACACTGTAGGAAATAATAATAATAATCAGCCTGCTACTATCTAGCACATTAAAGTAATTCAATGTTTTTTACTAATAAAGAATAAGCTCTTTGTGCAGAGAATGCAAAAATTTGTGCATAAGATTTACACGTGCAAACATTAACAGTATACCAGTGGGGGAACACAGGAGCACTAACAAACCAGGAGGTATCCATCACCTACAACAACACCACAGAGATTAAATAAATAAAATGTTTTATTGTGCATCACCTTGGTTTGTTTCTTAGAACATCACCTAGTTATGACTTTTCATCTGAAGCTTATCCAACATGAAGTAATTTGTTTTGTACCTGTCAAGAAACAAAACCTGTTATTCATAGTAATGTTGTATCTTGTGCACCTGCAAAAATAAATAAAGAGATGAGTTTCAAAATGTATTATGCAATAACACCAGCACACACAGCCTGTATCCTGTTTAAACTTTACTTTCGGTTTCGGTTACTTTCGGTCGTGGCGCAGCTTGTTTGATCCCTGGAAACGTAATGTAAACGAATGTTTCACTGCTTTACACTTGAATGAATCTTTGCGCATCTTGTGGCTAACTGTTATTAGCTTGTTGCAGTAAAAATATTATGTTAAATTAACTCAGAACATTGGTTAATAAATATAAATAACGCAAGGCACTTGTACCCGCCATGTTGATATATTTGGCAGTTTAAACAGTGGAATAAGAGCAGAACTAGAGTTAGTTTATCCTCGGAGTTGTTGTTGGTGTAGCTCCACTTACTAATGACTGAAGGCATCTTTTCCTGCCTGAAGCAGCCTGTGCAGGAGGCGGAGACGAGCCGCTGTCTGAGACTCTAAACGCGGCTTCGCTCGGCCGGTGTTCAGCAGAGTTTTGTCGACATGCCGAGAATTGCGTGCACCTCCAAATGCTGCTTTTAAACGCTATAATATTCTTTGTGGCCTTCATCAATGGTGATAAATGATTCTAAGTAAATATTTTATGAACGTTTAGAGTCTTTAATATTTTAATACACTTAGTAGAAGTACCATTCCTTGACATTCAGTAAATATATGTGGTGATAACGCCGTTTGATCAGCAAAGTGTCTGTCACGTAAACCTGTTGCTATCTTTGTATATCCTTAATACAGATGAGGAGGCGGTACGTTGTCTTAGCTTGACTTTATTCCAACACGTCGTAACCTAACACACACTGAATCTCCCCACCTCTTCCGGTATCTCCGTAAAAGGACCTAAAGAGGTGGATGCATAATTCGGCAGATCAAATTTTGTAGGCTACCTGCAGAGATTTGCATCCACCTCTTTTCTCAGCATAAATGACCGTTTTCACTCGCGAGGTGCATGCAATTCTCGGCAGGCAGGCAGAATTCGGCACAACACCTGTTATCACCGCTCCTCCATGCATGGTGTGTGCTGGGCTGCAGCTTCATGCCTCCATCTAGTGGACTGATAGTAGAAGTCCAGCAGCTGATGGCAGCTTCCTCTGCCTCACGCTGCTGTCTGACTGCATTCAGCTGCCACTGATATGAAACAGAAACTAGCAGCCAATCAGTGGAGGAGCAGCTGATCTTTTTCCAGGAGAATGATGGAAAGGAGGATTTGAGTTGATGTGCAGATGAATGATTTGTGTTTCCTCTCCAGATGAAAGTGGATGTGAGTTGAGCAGCATGAGTCAGTGTGAGGACAGAGAGGAGGGAGTCCCTCCCTCTAAAAGCACTCTGTGTGGGGAACATGACAGCCAGACCAAAGCTCAGAGGTGAGATGAGGATCTCTAACTGTCCAGGACTCAAATCACTCCACCATCATTATTCACTCTCAAAGCTCTGTGTGTGTTGTGTTGAAGCCCAAAGCAGCAGCAGGGACCAGACTCTGCTGGACCTGGACCTGAGCCCAGCTGTGTGTCCTTCAAGAGCGACTGGTCAACTGATCGCATCATTAATTTTAAAGGACAATCCTTTGCTGCAAAACGGTGAACTGTTAATAACATCAAAATATTACTAATTCATGTTTTATTAAACCTGTTTATTTTCACCAGCTTTCTTTTTCACATATATTTATATTTTCACATCCAAAAGATGCCCAGTATACCCTGTCTTCAGCTGTTGACTCCAGTTTAACACTTTCTTCCCACACATTCTGTTATCTGATGACTACATGAGTATAAACAACTCGTTCATACTCCCATCTCGTCACATATGGACACTTGGTCAACACCCCTTGGTGGTGTTGCTCTGCGGTCAAGTTAGAAATAATACATATGCAATGTCCGGTTAGACTTAAACCTAGACTCAAAGAATAAAACTAGTGGGTTATAATAATTATATTACTTACTTTATTGTTACTTAAAATAAAATAAATGTTGACATTTTGTTTCACATGGGAAACAAACTTCTGGGTCCCCTGGGTGAAAGTCCGGTTTATGGCTCCCACATCCACCACAACCACCTCCTTATTCAAAATGCTATTAGATGCCCTGGGAATGAAAAAAGGCTGAATAATAAGACTGAAAACCACTAAGTGAGCTGCACTTTATCCGTGTTGCTGAAGTTAATTTGTGTGGATTAGTGGTGAGATTTATGTCTGATCACAAGTGTTTGCAGTTTCCATTTTCCACCTCCGAAAGAGGGCAGTGCGCATGTTCTCTCATCCAGTACAGTCCCAAAAAGGTTCTGCATCTGTCAGACTGTCTGAAGGGAATACAACCACACCACCAGAGCAAAATGTCCACATAAAAAGTTAGTATTCAAAAAGGTAGAAAAGACCTGACAGCTGCATCATGGATCGTCACATCAGGCTAACTACATGCTGCAGAAGCTAAAGAGAAGGTAGTCTTTACCTCTACCAAACGTCTAAAATTTGTTGCGTGTAAAACAAGCTAATTGTTGTCCACTTTCCTGTTGGTAGATTGGTTAAACAAAGAACAGAAGAAATGCACACGTATCAACGCAAAAGTATCAAATTAAAAACCACATCAACTTCATGAATAACAGCTGTACCTGTTTGATTACATATATCCCAGAGAAGAACATTCTAGCTTTAATTTTTTCATGCTTTTTGTTGTCAAATCACCCTCAGCTTTGGTTTGAAACAGTATTCTATAATTTTCTCTTAGGTTTCCTGAAGTGGTTCTCACTTTACCTGCTACAGGTTTACTGCGAAGCACTAACTAATCCTTGTACTGGAAAGATAGCATCCAGTGAGCTTGTGTGAGCTGTGTGTTGGTGTTGAAGAGACTTAACCTGAAAACCAAATATAATTTACCTTGTGTTTGTCTCTGTGAGGACAGACATAATTTGAGCTAATTCTTCATAATTCCTCAACAGATTTGACCAGGAGAGCTCAGAGGTTCCCAGAGGTCAGTCTGCCCAGCAGCATCAAACACACATGGACTATATATTTATGGTCTGTACATGTACAACAACCTTTCCATATATTCTGTTCACAATAATCTCCACGCTGCACTTTTTAGACCAGTGGATTGTCAGTCTGTCCAACATGGTTCTGATGTTTGGTCCATGATTTTAAGTTAATTGTGTCATTCATATAATTTTCTGTTCCAGCTGCTGGAGGAGAACATTGTCATTTTTGTAAAGAATGAACTAAAGAAAATCAAGAAGGTTCTGAGTTCAGATTACCCAGAATGCTCAGAGAGTAAGAAGGAGGATGAGGAGGTGTTGGATGGTGAGGAAGAAGAGCAGAGGAGGAGCAGCAGAAAGGCATTTCTGAAGATCACACTGCACTTCCTGAGGAGAATGAAGCAGGATGAGCTGGCTGACCGTCTGCAGAGCAGTAAGAGGATTTCTCTAAAGATTTCACCCGCTGGATAAACGGGACATTTACTGATGGTTCTAGAGATTGAGGAAATATGTTTAAATATGCATTCTTTAGGGGAGTAAATTGTCATAATGTATGTTATAAATACCTTACTGATTTATTTTGTATTCATTCAGGACCTCCTGCTCAAGTGTGTCAGCCTAAACTCAAATCCAACCTGAAGAAGAAGTTCCAGTGTGTGTTTGAGGGGATTGCTAAAGCAGGAAACCAGACTCCTCTGAACCAGATCTACACAAAGCTCTACATCACAGAGGGAGGGACTGCAGAGGTCAATGATGAACATGAGGTCAGACAGATTGAAACATCCAGGAAACCAGACAGACCAGAAACAACAATCAGACAAAAAGACATCTTTAAACCCTCACCTGGAAGAGATGAACCAATCAGAACAGTGATGACAAAGGGAGTGGCTGGCATTGGGAAAACAGTCTTAACACAGAAGTTCACTCTGGACTGGGCTGAAGACGAAGCCAACCAGGACATACAGTTCATATTTCCATTCACTTTCAGAGAGCTGAATGTGCTGAAAGAGAAAAAGTACAGCTTGGTGGAACTTGTTCATCACTTCTTTCCTGAAAGCAAAGAAGCAGGAATCTGCAGGTTTGAAGAGTTCCAGGTTGTGTTCATCTTTGACGGTCTGGATGAGTGTCGACTTCCTCTGGACTTCCACAACAATGAGGTCCTGACTGATGTTACAAAGTCCACCTCAGTGGATGTGCTGCTGACAAACCTCATCAGGGGGAACCTGCTTCGCTCTGCTCGCCTCTGGATAACCACACGACCTGCAGCAGCCAATCAGATCCCTCCTGGGTGTGTTGACATGGTGACAGAGATCAGAGGGTTCAATGACCCACAGAAGGAGGAGTACTTCAGGAAGAGGTTCAGAGATGAGGAGCAGGCCAGCAGGATCATCTCCCACATCAAGACATCACGAAGCCTCCACATCATGTGCCACATCCCAGTCTTCTGCTGGATCACTGCTACAGTTCTGGAGGAGGTGTTGAAGACCAGAGAGGGAGGAGAGCTGCCCAAGACCCTGACTGAGATGTACATCCACTTCCTGGTGGTTCAGTCCAAAGTGAATAATGTAAAGTATAATGGAGGAGCTGAGACGGATCCAACCTGGAGTCCAGAGAGCAGGATGATGATTGAGTCTCTGGGAAAACTGGCTTTTGAGCAGCTGCAGAAAGGAAACCTGATCTTCTATGAATCAGACCTGACAGAGTGTGGCATCGATATCAGAGCAGCCTCAGTGTACTCAGGAGTGTTCACACAGATCTTTAAAGAGGAGAGAGGGCTGTACCAGGACAAGGTCTTCTGCTTCGTCCATCTGAGTGTTCAGGAGTTTCTGGCTGCTCTTCATGTCCATCTGACCTTCATCAACTCTGGTGTCAATCTACTGGCAGAAGAACAACCAACCTCACAGAAGTCTGAAACAAGAAGTGATGAAACTGCTGTGAAACAGTTATACCAGAGTGCTGTGGACCAGGCCTTGCAGAGTCCAAATGGACACCTGGACTTGTTCCTTCGCTTCCTCCTGGGACTTTCACTGCGGACCAATCAGGATTTCTTAAAGGGACTGCTGACACAGACAGAAAGATGCTCACAGACCAATTGGGATACAGGCCAGTATATGAAGGAGAGAATTGAGGAGAACTCCTGTCCAGAAAGAAGCATCAATCTGTTCCACTGTCTGAATGAACTGAATGACCGTTCTCTAGTGGAGCAGATCCAACAGTCCCTGAGTTCAGGAAGTCTCTCCACAGATAAACTCTCTCCTGCTCAGTGGTCAGCTCTGGTCTTCATCTTACTGTCATCAGAAAAAGATCTGGACGTGTTTGACCTGAAGAAATTCTCTGCTTCAGAGGAGGCTCTTCTGAGGCTGCTGCCAGTGGTCAAAGCCTCCAAGAAAGCTCTGTATGCACATAGATACTTGCATATACTGAAAATATTTTAGATACACAACTATTACAAATTGAGTTTTAACTGTAAATTCTCCATTCAGATTGAGTGGCTGTAACCTCTCAGAGAGAAGCTGTGAAGCTCTGTCTTCAGTTCTCAGCTCCCAGTTCTCCAATCTGAAAGAGCTGGACCTAAGTAACAACAACCTCCAGGCCTCAGGAGTGAAGCTGTTTGCTTCTGGACTGGAGAGTCCACATTGTAAACTGGAAAGACTCAGGTAAGATCAAGTTATTTTTTTTGTCTTGAATGACTTGAGATATTTAAATAAACTATAATCTATATGCACCTTTCACTAAATGTCAGCTGGGAGAGGCTCCAGCCCTCTGCGGCCCTGTAACCCAGGGTAAGGGGTTGACAATGAGTGAGTGAATAAATGATCATCTATATGTCTTATATGAGGATTATAATTATTTGTATTTTTTAGGGATTTAAGTGTTAAAACTCTTAATCAGTTTATGTTCACACTGAATATTGCTCCCCTGGAATCAAAACTGCTACCGCACCCTCAGATGATCTGCTATGTGTGTTGTTTTGTATGTTTGCAGGCTGTCAGGCTGTCTGATCACAGAGGAAGGCTGTGCTTCTCTGGCCTCAGCTCTGAGCTCCAACCCCTCCCACCTGAGAGACCTGGACCTGAGCTACAATCATCCAGGAGACTCAGAAATGAAGCTGCTGTGTGCTGGACTGGAGGATCCACACTGGAGACTGGACACACTCAGGTATGAAGAGGCCTGCAGCAGTCACAGTCAATATGATAGAGGAGGAAGAGCTGCGAACATTTACTTTGTGACACTGTTAGCCTGGGTCATGTTCACTGACACACCAAGCTAACAAAGGCTGACTGTCTGATCCAACAGTTCATGAAACAAAGTGGCACAATGTTCTTTATTATTGTGGAAAGACAAATGAAAACAGGCCATCAATCATTTTCACATAACGGTGGACCTTCTAGTCTGGTCAAATGTTCATATGAATTGAGAACAGATCTATCAAAAATAAAAATGGCAATGGCCAATCCTAGCCATATTTTAAAAAAAATTGGATCAGTATTGGATGCCACAAACCTGTTGGGGTGCAAAACAATATGATCTGTGGCAAAAACAAGCGCTTTCAGTGGACATATGGATTGGTGGTGCGCTATTAACGGAAAGCTGCAGCACACTCGCTCAGTACTGGATTTTAAAAGGATATTGTCCCCATTAGTCATTTAGACACAAAACATGAAAAAATGGGTCTAGGTGGTAAAATACCTTTGGAAAGATGCCTGAAGGGAGGATGATTTTTTTCAGTTCAAAACTTTCAAAATCTAGCTGTCCCTTGCTAGTTGTCCAACATTGCCCACCCAAGCTTTAAGTTTACAACTTCACAAAAGGAGTTTTACAACAGTAAATGAAGAAATGTACCTAAAGTTCATTTCTAGGAGTTATCTGACCAGAACCAAGACAACACTAGACAAACGAGCAGCAATCACTAACTATATGCTTCACTGTTTATTTTCCCGGATTTTTACAACCTCATTGCAGCTGAGCCATGAAAAATCTCTAACATTCTGCTTCATAAATTTTATACTATTATTATTTTTTTTTTTTTAACCTGTCTTGCCCAGCAGCCTGGTATAGAGTATGATGACCTGGATACCATATTGTGCCAGATTTTACTTTAACAAGAGAGTTTTAATATACTCCTTTGTCTGTTTTATTATTTATTTAATTATGTATAGATTTGTCACCGGGCCGGACAGGGGGGCAGACACGGGGAGGGGGGGGGGGGGGGGGGGGGGCACAA